CTCGCTTAATCTGGGTATTACCCTTGTATCTCCTCTTAAAGGAGGTACTATGCCTCTCTGCCAATGAAGGCGTGTGCAGCACAGTAAGGCAAGCACCTCCTACCCAGCCAGTAAACATGACCCATTCCTGACTGGCCTGAAACTTAGGCTGAAAACAAATCAGTTGCTTTGGGATAAGTTGTCTCCAGCTATAGCCCTTAGTGATTACATTATACAATGAAATCGGTATTCCTGACAGATGTACAGTTTGGAAGGCTGACTGTAGGAATCTGCTCTTACCTTTCCATATTTCCCAGCTTCTGAAGCCACTCACTGGTCGTGTCCCGAACAGTGAAGTACCAGTTCTGATCCTTTGAGAGGAGGGATGATGCACTAACTCTGACGTTAAAGGAAGGAGCAGACAAGTACTGTCTATAGATGAATGAACCTATGTAGCAGTATAGGTACATAAATCCTACATATAATAAGCCCCAAGCGTGTGACTTTTATGACTGCAGCTCCATTTACCTGTACAACAGGCAGTTGCAGCTGTGATGCCCAGTGGTAGCACAGCTGCAGAAATTGTTAAGGACACCCTGCATGAAGTCACCATGTAGGGAGAGAGAGCGATGTGTGGGACAGAGGTTTGGAGGAAGTGACAGTCACCTCCTGCCTCTGCTCTGCTCCTGACTGCTGGTGACTCATTAGGAAAATTACTTCTGCTTCCGTTTCTGAGCCTCTTGCTGCCACCTAATTTCCACTGGGTCCGTTAGTCCGTTCAGGAACTCAGCAACGCCTGGTAGGAACTGCCACCCTGGCTTGGGAATTGCTGATCCAGAGGTCATTAGAGAGCTTTATTAATAATCATTGCATTAACCTCCTAGGTAGCCAGTGATAGAAATGCCATTTCTCCCATTTTATAGCTGAGAAAAGCGAAGCATAGACAGATTCATCACCTGGTTACAGAGTCAATGCTCCATAAATCTGAAAATTAGGCTGTCAGCAACTTCTCTTAAAGCTAACCTGCAGCAAAGCTATCCAGGAGACCCAGTTCCTACCCATCAGGTACACTCCCTCCACAGTTTACTGGGAGAAACCTGAACACATCTCTCTGGATTTCAATTCCTGCAGAGAGACGTGGGGGTCTGGAGGGCATGGTCAGAGGGCAGCAGCATCCGGGGGAGAAATCTCAGCCCTCCCTGCCCACAGCAGGCATCTCCTCTGCAGGGCAGTGGCACCCGCTTGATGCCTGCACAGGGGAGAGCCCCCAAGGAAGGGGCACGATGCCCTGTGTTTTGGCAGAGGGGTAGGAATTAATTGCTCTTAGAGCAACTCAGGTATGTGTCTGGTCATCACCTGAAATTTGATTTTGAAAGAATATTTAGTTGCTAAAACATACAATTTAGGTTAAATCAGGCTGTTTGGGATGTGAGTACAGGAGGAACTGTGGGGTCCTGGTTGGTCGGTTGTTTTTTTCGATTTCTTTTTTAGTTCAATAGTGCAGAAGCAAGTAGGTGCTGGGAGGGAGGATGATTAGCAACATCCCTTATTATTAAAAAACAGGGATTTTTTTTCAATGCTTTATAACAACACCTTTGCCACTCCCCGATAGAATTTTATGCATCAGCCTCAACCTAACTCCAAGCTGGTGTAGAGATTTTGA